TAGCTGATTTCCTAGACTAGCTGTTGGGAGGGCGGCTGCTGAAGGGAGTAAGAGATGGCAACTGCTAGGGATACTGAAGAGAGAGAAAAAAACAGATTAAAGCCGATACACTGAGTACAAATACCCTCAAAAGAGGAAGAATCCCGCAGTGTTTTGTGTCACTTACCGTAAGGGAAACAAAATCACGTGGATCCAAAGCTCTTGAGCATATGAGTATTGCGGTTGGGAGGGTGTCATCATAAAAGTGTTGAGAAAAGACCTCTTCGTTTCCCTTAAAGTTTCCAGTAAGGATGGGGAGCAGAAGCAAAAACCCCCTGCTTCACAGTTGAAGGTGCTGTTTTGTGCAAACCTGACCAAAGGTTGGAGACCAGTCATCAGCGGTGCTGGCAAATAAAGAGGCTTCTGGATTGGGTGGGGCAATTGCTGTGACTTCCAGGTGACCTGCTGGCTGGGGGCTGTGAGACGGGTAGTAGGTTTGCAGAGTGGCCCGGGCGTAATCCCTGGCTCTGAGGCTGCTGGTCTGACTAGCAGACCTGGGTACCCCCAGTCCTAATGTGGCAGGTCGGGATGTGGCCTGGGACACCTGCCGTGCTGAGGGTGAGAAGAGGGCTTCCCTGATGGAGTGTCCCTGCGGAGAGTGGAAACGTCCTCCTGCAGGGGAGGAATAGCTTCTGAGCAGGTGGCCGGATGCACAGGCATGAGCAGCATCAGCACTGAGGTTTCTGGGAGCCGGGAAGTCATACAGTGGCCCAAACCACCTTGTTCCTGAGAGACTGGAGGGAAAAGATGCTGAAAAGGCAGGCTAGGTTCAGACAATCTGGTGGGTTATGATTGACAGGAAAGGACTGTTCAGCCAGGCACGAGAGAAACCTGTGGGGGTCCCAGCTTGGGCGTCACGCTTAAGGGAAGAACAGAGTTATAGACTTTTCCACTTATTAGCTGTGTGATTTTGAGGAATATCACCCCACCTCTCTCTATATATATCTTCATCTGTAAAGTGACAGAGTGACAAGCTCGTGTCATCAGAAGGCTTAGTTTAGCTCTGATACTCTTTGTCCAGTCCTGTCAGTGCTGCCCTGCAAGGTTCTGCAGCGACTGCTCTTACCCTGAGACGGGAGGGCGTAGAGGGACACTGTAACACCCGAGGGC